GATAAATAAGTAGTAAATAAGATTATGTATATGAATCAAAAATAAACACAACGCTGCGTTAAACTGAGCATAGCCAAGTAGTAGTACAAGCGGGCAGTCCTCAGTTTCTGAAGGATCATCGTTGAAGCCGGGACAACGAGTTTTCTTCACCCTCTCTTTCGAGGATAAATACTGAGGTAGGACGATCCGGTGGACGAACTTCGTGACTGACACCGGGAAAGGTCATCTCCCAGTCTACGAGTTGGTTTTAACAGGATCTTCTTTCCATTTGTACACTTTGTGCAACCCAAAACTCGGCTGAGAACTCTGCACACGATTTGTGTATGACAGACCACGTAATATAGAAGCTAAATTTAATTTCCTCTTCATGAGTGAGAAATCGCATGCCTGCAACCGGAAAATGCGACAGTAATGTGTGATGTAAATCACCCTGATGATTAACCTCGTATGTGACGTAGAAACACGTTGGATTTTACAACGTCCTTTCTGACTGTTACCTTGAACCACGGATCAGGAATCGTCAACTTTCACAATTACACTAGAAAGGGCAATGACTCCATATCTTTCTCCATGCCTATTTGAGAAGCAAGCTAGCGTTGACTTATCCATAAATAAGCCTTCAAACATTTAGTTGAATTCCTTCAATATTGAGTCTAATGAGCTGTGGAAATTAAGCGAACTTTTCTGCGGCCAAACTGTCTGGGTACGATATTTGATGGCAGAAACGTAAAATAACGGGCGAAACCCCTTGATACGATTTCCTTGGCCATTCTGCAATTTTTCACCCTCACAGAGCTACAGTATCCCTCGCGTAACCAAGTCGTTGACAGTGACGTATTGCCGCAGCATTGCCACGAACTTACAGTGACATTGGCGTCACAATATATTTTCTCAAAGGTGGGCAACTTGTTATGTTCATGGCGAACATGCCGTAACATGCATGAGTCACAGGCAGTGAATCGCGAACTCCACGAGTCACTGATCCGCCATTGTCTTTATTTCGCCACCAGCAGCATGGTCTGTGTTCAGGTCAGAGGCGACCTCCTTGAAGCTCAGGGACT